CTACATGGTATCAGAGCCAAGTTAGGGTTTCTCATGTGAGTCTAGTACCAGTCGACCACATGAGAATCTCTTAGGACTGGAAGTTGAAAAGGTGGAGTTCGCAGACTGATTCTTGGAGATCGCCAGAAGGGCTAGCAGCTGTTGAAAGCTTGTCATGGTTGCAGAGTGTTGGTGGTCAGGAAGGATCAAAGAAGACTAGGGTTCGGGTAACCTTGGAAGGCAGCGAACAATTTTTCCTTGTAAGTTATTTATTCTCTAAGAGAAGTACTATCAGAGAAGATGGGTTGGACCTATCTTGAAAGGGCGGTCGAACCATTCTAGGGTTTTCTCCCTTCTATTCTCTAGGGTTTTACAGCAAACCCTACTGTTGGGCCGAATTGTTTTAGGGTCTGAAAGTGATCTTGCGGCAAACCCTAATAAGCTTGTGGCAAGCCCTAATGTTAGGCTGAACCTTGCGGTTTACCTGGAGCTGTCCTCCAGGTTTTTTTTTTCTTTCAGCATTGATCAACTTTTAGGGTTTCATATTAACCCTACTGCAAGTCTATCTGTACGGTACTGATTGGAATGTGCAACTGAAATGTTTTCTTTTGGGACTGATTAAAAACCCTAATTCTACCAAGCATATCAGACCTGCTTCTAACCTGATCTTCAGATTCTTTTGGGGTTTTTGAACTCTCTTAAGGGGTGAGAACTGTACGGCCTGCTGCTGTTGTGTTTGCTAGTTGGTTTCAGATCATCAGTTATACCTGTTTCATGCACATATACCGTGAATACAAATTGGTTCTATACTGATTTTTGGTTGTGATTGATAGTCCAAGTGTTGTTCTTTGGCTGTAGTAACCCTAATTTTGAGACTATTGGTTCTTGACTGAAATGGAGTTTAAAAATCAGGCCGAAGGCAGTTTTGGGAACAACAGTTATGTAGTATGTGAGCATTGTAAGAAACCCAAACACACAAAAGAAACATGTTGGAAGCTAGATCCTCATTTGGTCCCGGCAAAGTTAAGAAGCAAGAAGGGTAACGTTCATGTGGCCGTGAATACTAATTCAGCATCCTCGTCTGGCACAAGAGGCACATTCTTAGAGACCTTAGCTGCAGTTCGGGCTGCTCTTATACAGTTGGAAAAGGAAGTTGGGAACTCAGCTCAGGCACCGCAGTCACCATTAGCCCCTGCCACAT